CGTCAATTTGAAGTTCTATGGTCTATAGGTAAAAACTCGGTTTTTCGGAAATAAGCTTCTATCGACTTCAACTTTCATTTTAACCCAAAACAAACATTGCCACGATAATCAGCACACTCGATTACCTGTGTCTCAACACTTTTCCAGGTTCTTTACCGCGTCCGGACAAAGACAGTTAGGACAGCGGAAAACCTTTATAACTCCTGAACCACGAGAGACAGCGAGCTGGGACTAGTCTAGTCCTGTAGAACTTGAGTTGAGCGATCTTTTCGACGTCTAGGAATTCAAAATCCGAAAATTTTATAGTGGTCGGAAAACTCTTACAAAATGTCCACGCAAGGTACACCACCTGAAAGTGCTCGAAAAAACTGGGTTATTTCACCTGGTATAAATTTTCACGCGGTTCTTGTATGTTACTCTGAAAACTAACACAGCATGGTCGATAAGCTATGTTTTCATGCGTTTCTGAAAGCCCCAGAGCGAACAATAGAGAAGTCCTTGGGCTGTGGAAAAAACGTCAGAAAATTCAACCAAAAAACGTTTCTATCTGTGAAAATATAGGCTAAAGTGTCCTCCTCCGACCGCAGGCCCCTATCTTTTACGGTCTTTGAGTTATTCTAAAAATAACAGGCTGTCTTTTATTTTGGCACCCACAACAATAACTCGCATCGAAACTCGATACTTCGAAAAACCGGATTATAATAACTTCTTACAAATAACTTTTGAAAAAGTAAATATAAGGTTTTATAGCGCTTGAAAATCTCTGTCGAATGAGATATTACTTCACGACTTTCAACAAATCGTTAATTTAGAAGTAAAAGTGTAAGCTAACAGAGTAATGCTAATTAGCATTACACAGTACTAATTAATTATACATTGATACCTTGAAAGTATTTTCTTTTCCATTTTTTTCATGAAACTATAACTGTAGATTGTTGGGCAGCAAACTACGCTAAAACGAGGTTTCCACGACTAGTTTTGACTAAGCTGTACGCTTTTTAAAAATAGGCCTTGCAATTAAATTTTTAAAATGTAGTAAGATTTTACTTAATTTATAACTCCGTGAATACTTACCGAGTCTCCGAAAACAATTCAGGATAGATACAATCAAGTCGTCTCTACAATCTGAGAGGGTTTAATAGTACGTCTTGTGGAGGTTCGCTCCCCTAAAGAGCCATCTCGTACAAACGGGGACAGACACTGCTCAAACGTATATCACCCAACAGTTCGAACGAGTCATAAAAAGAAAAAAAAGACATTTCTGAGTAAAATGGCGTTTTCCGCTTGAAAAAATATTGCTTGGTTGGTCAGATTTGAACATTTTAAAATTTCGACCAACTTTTGAAAAATGCGTATTGCTCATATCTCGGCAATCATACACGATAAAGAGCTCAAATTGTTTACGTAAATAGAATCGATAGTTTTCTTCGATTCGAAACAAGCTCGACTCCTGTGCAGCGACGTAGCCAGGAGTTTTAGGAGGTTGGGCACAAAACATTTTTAATCGATTCAATTTTTTTCCACTGTTTTAGCTCTTATGGTCGTATTATTGTTTGCGGTTGTTGTGGTAGGAAATGGCGGTCGTAATGGTGGCGGAGATTCGATTGATCATGAAATGAACAATGTCGAGCGAGAGATGTAGATAAATCTGCTAATGCTTCGTATGTCGACATCCTTGAGTACAATGCTTCTCATGCTTGTGTTCCTAATTGAACATATCTATTTGATTTAATATCATTGTTATTGTCAAGCTTTGCTTTTTGGAAAAATAACTATGAGGATTCCTCTTTTTATTATCGTTCATTTCATCTTTACGCTGCATAATTTTTTTATTTCACTGCATAAATGGTACACTATAGTGAAACAGAACATCTTTTAACACAGAGATAAGCGAGAATTGATCAATTATGACTACCAATATACATCAGAAAACACAGAACGAACAAGAAAAATGTCTTTTTTTCATGCTGCTTTAATGTCTATTCTAACTAAAAACAAAAAAAATTCGAAGTCTGGAGGAAATAAAACTCTAAGGGGCCCGTAGCTGACTACGTCGTTGCCTCTTTGAATGGTTTCGCTTTAATACAGTGACCTGTGTCCGATACGTCCTAAACTCATATTTTGTCCACTTTGAAGCCATATTGTATTGAAACGAAATATTTTCATAAAATTTTGAAAACACTATTAGATAGAGAGCTTCGAATAATCCAGCGCCTGAGCGTGGGAGTTTCTAGTTCGCTTTCGTTCAAGTAAAAATTGCATCAAAAGCAGCGACTTTAGCTGAAAATATCAGTTTTCAAAATCGATTTTTTCCTATGGTATAAGCCAAACTTAGGAAATATTTGGGCATAAGTAGTCCCAACCTTGACTATCAATCGATCAAAAATTTCGGTGGGCAACGTTAAGCTCACTGGAAGCTCTTAGTGCAGCCCAGAGTATAGGCATGCAACAGTACCAGTTCTTTACTGGTAAACTGGTACTGTTTAACTCGTTCTTACCGATACCGGTTCCTTAACGGTTCACCAGTTCACGGTACCGATTTCTTATCGAAGCACCAGTTCACGGCTCCTTAACAGGTCTATTAGGGATGCAGCAGTACCGGTAAACTGGAATTAACAGTTCCCCAGTTCACAGTATCGGTTTTTTAACAGTTCTTTAACTCCCGTAAGTTTCTTAAAGTGGGTTACAATGTTTTGAGGAGATTTATTGCTGTCTTTTTTCAACTTCAGTGCATTGAAAAGTAGGATAATCTGGCATTCTGCAAAAATTCTGCAAAAAAAAATTAATAATGGTATACTTTTTTATGTAAGAACCAGTTTCAACATCATAGAACTATTAAGAAACCGGTACCGTGAACTGATGAGTGTGTATAATCAGTTATGACCCAAACGGATCATGAGTGCTGTGATTGAAACGGATCCAAAACGGTCCGTTCTGGTGACAGATTTATCACCATAATGACAACAATTATTCAGATTTAAAAAAGGAAATTTTTTCAATATGATGGCTCTCGCCCTATAGGAATGGTATCTTTCAAATTTAGGTTCTATCATACACTAATTCTTATGGGAAATATTACCAAGTTTTCCTAATTATAAGAGAAAATCTATAGTATTTTTTCTTCTTGAGTGGTTAAATTAAACGAGATAAGTAACCCGAGAATATATATATTCTCAAATTACAACCTTTATAAATTATTTTTACCACTAAGTTGTATTAACTTTTGATATTCAAAGTAGGGTTTACTTTCTTTATCCAGTATGATTCCCGTGCTTTTCGATGATCCTCATTAAGATAACCTGTCTCGAACGGTATAATCATAACATCCCGAATGGAATGATTCATCTGGCTAAAGTGTAATCCCACTGTTGAGGTCCGTTTAACTCTGATTTGTGATGTATGTCCAAAAAACCGTTCTCGAGCTGATGTTCCTGTTTCTCCAATATACTCCTCCCCACATCGCTTACATAGGATATAATAACAAACGTTAAGCTTGTCACAATTCAGTGCTTGATTTAGGTTCAATTTTATTCCTGATGTGGTGGAGATACTCGTACAATTATCTATACTTAAACTACAGAAGATGCAGTATTTTCTTGAACATTTCTTAAATCCCGTTTGTTCAGATGCAGATGGTGGGACAATATCCATTAAGTTTCCCAAATGGTTTGAGTGTACAAGTAAACGATGTAGATTCTGTGGACACCTATATGCCAGAATGTACTTAGACCAATCTACGTTTGAAGCGGAATATTTTCGAAAAATCTCTCCTATTCGGCTAAATTGTTTGTTATATGTGAGTACAAGTACTTTTTTCCGTGTCTTTTGTCCCAAACCCTTCCCGGAAACAATGGATTTCTTCTCTTTTAGTAAATTCAATCTGTCTAATTTGTCAACTTTTTGAATTTTGGACACTACATTTTTCGGCCTGTATCCTCGTTTACTCAATCGATGAACAGTATTGGCGTACTCTCGCCATTTCTCGATATCATCATTGCAAATTCGTTTAACTCTATGTGCAAGTGTAGTGGCTAAATTGTCCAATATAAATCTGGGATGTCCTGACTCTAATCGGACGGACGTACTGGAAAGTGTCTGTGGGTTTTTTGAAAAGTTTCGAGATCAATTTGTTGAGTATTGTACTTTTTGTAATTGACACGTCCAGATAATTGATCATCGTCTCACCGAAACCTTCCACTTTATATTTTAGATTCGGATTGCCCGTATTCAGTTTCGAAAGAAATTGCTCAGCTTCTACTCTATCGCCATACCAAAGGATTACGACATCGTCCAGGTAGCGAAAAAATCGGAAAGGCAACTTCTCGCATTTGTCGAATAGCCTCAGTTCATTTAATAAGACAAACAGGTTAGCATATGGTGGCGCACAGGGGGTTCCCATTGCCGTACCGAATTTCTGTATATAGAATTTTCCACCAATTATTACCTAACACTATTTTGAGTAATCCGACAAGCCCCTGGCCCAAGATAGGTATGCCGGAAGTTTCTCTATTCTCAAAAACGAAATTCGACACTCTTGCTACACCTTCATCAATAGGAATATTAGTATATAAGGATTCAATGTCTGTCGTAGCAAACCAAAATTTACCTAAATCGAGCTTCCGACTCAGAATCTCCTCGTTCACAGACTCAATCTCAATAAGCAATTGTTTTGTACTATTCAGAACTCTGTAGAAATCGCAGTGATATTTCTCCTTAATAAATTTAGATGAACCGTCGACAAAAGGTTGTAGGACTTGACAGAGAAAAAAAAATTAATAATGGTATACTTTTTTATGTAAGAACCAGTTTCAACATCATAGAACAGTTAAGAAACCGGTACCGTGAACTGATGAACTGTTAATTACAGTTTACCGGTACTGCTGCATCTCTACCAGAGTAGATATCACGTAGAAATTATTAAATTTTTAGAACAATATTTTGCATTTTTGTTTTGAAGAAAGCATTTTAAAGCTTTCTATTTTAAAGCGAAAAAAAAGCCCATATTCGTCATTAGCGCCAGAAACTGAATCGAATAATGTGTCCCTCAGTCATTTTTCGACATACTTTTCAGCAGAAAATTGCTACGGCACCGCTTTCTTTCCATGATTTTTCTTACAACACAGACTTTTGTCTGAAATGTTTTTGATTATCTAAATTTATCATATACTGTTCCAATTCTTGCATTTTATGTGCAGTTTTAATAGCATGATCGGAACTATCGGAGCAGTTAAATGTTGCTTTTATTTGGTCATACGTCCATGTACGAAGTAATAAGGATAGTAAACGTGCACGCTCAACAAATGGCATTTTATTTTTCAAATTTTCATAATAAAGATTTTATAAATTTTGAACCATCGCATTTGCCATGATCTCGTCGTTCCTTCATTCATGCATGAGGGGATCAGCTTTGTCTAATTCAATTAATTGACCAACCTTATCAGGTGAAATCGTTCAGCAATTTGTGCTGCTGCAAGAACACTTGTATTAAAAATAACTTTCGCTATAGACTACTATTCTTTTCAGAATACTAGGCGGTACAAGGGTTATTTTTTTAATAACACAAAAGGAATAAATGATAGAGATCTGCGGTTTTCATCTTCGATTTTGTTTAGTTGAAAACAGCCGGAAAAGACTAGTTTTCGTAAAACTTAGATTTCGCTAGGTTGTCAAATCTTTTTCTAAAGTAGACATTGCCATGGAACTCAGCATAGTTGATAACCTAAAAATTAAAAAAGTCATTCAAAATCCCTCCAGCCTGCTTCAGAATGTCAGCAAATACCCTATTTTAGCTGCAACTGTAAAGCTTAGTAAATGTTGAAAACAACCACCAGAAAATACTTTGGTTTCTAGAAAATTTTCTCAGAAACTTTCAGAACTGCAAGAATCTTTTTTATTGATTTTATATACAGAATAGATACGGAAAAAGTAAAGTATTTCTTGATATTCTGAAGTATATTGGATGGATTTTGACTGAGTTATGCTTTTAATTTTTGATGAAAATAATCAAAAATGGGTTATTTCATATAATATAGGTTTTCACTCATCGTGCATTTTGTTCTGAAAACTGGCATTGCCACACGATTCACGATAATCTATGTTTTCATTCATTTCTGACAGTCCCAAGCCTAACGGCAGTGGAATACATGAATAAAATAGTTTCTTTTGTCATTTGCCTTTTAAAGAACTTACACATTTGATGTTTAAACGAAAATAAATATGTAATAAGCATATAATAATCAAAAAACTGTTTTGTGATACTACCATCCAAAAAGTGTTTTCTTATTCTGCCTTTTGCTGATGGTCGTGAACAAACTAAATTTACTGTTTGATCTTCTGTACAAGTAAAGAGGAAAAAAAGGAAAGGTAACAATGAAAAAGTACATATTCTGATTTTGCTTCATTTAAAGTCTTCTGGTTTAATTATTGGTCTAGGTTAAAAAACAGAGTGTTTATTATTCTTGATGTAAATTATACGGTAAGTGTAGTATTTCTACTACTTTGTAATTGTCTAAAATGATGTACAGCATAAGACGTTGAATCATAAGGATGCCCTGGATCTTGTTCAAACCACGAAAATGGGAAGAAGATATGTGTGGAAAATATCTGAAAACCATTTAATATTGTTGCTGATTGTTGTTTCTTCATTTGTCGCGTCATAAAATGTGGCCCGGTTTGTTGATTTACTGTTGAATTTTTATATACTGACCAATTGTGATCTAAATCTTGGATTATATTTTTCAAGAATTCGTGTCTGGGTGTTGACCCGAAAATTCCATTACAAATAAATTTTGATGATTCATAAGCGACAAATGCTTTTAACCCATGTAACAAAGGTTCAATTGATCTCAATGGTTCAAAATCCAAATCTGCATAAATACCACCATGTTTAAATATTAATTCATACCTAATTATATCTGATAGTTGTTTACGGTTTCGAGCTTGATCATAAAGATGTTGATTGTACAGTGGGAATAATATCGCTGCTATGTCCTCCTCGGTCCACACCTTTATTTCCCAATTTGGGTGAAATTTTCGCCATTGGTTTACATTGTGTTGATAGGCAGTTGGAAGTGATGTTGACTCATTGTTAGCTAACCAAATGAAATGAATGGTTTTTGGAATGATAATTGGTGAAATAAGAAAACGTTGTACTTTAGATGGTCGTTGACGACGATTTTCAATTTGAACGAGAGATTGTTTTGACATGAATACGTTAAGTAATTGTTTTTGAGCAATTTGAATTATCATTGAATCAACTTGATACTGCGTGGGATAAATGTTATTCAACAAGATTTGAGCTGCTTTAGGACTGATTAAATAGGCGTATGTTCCCCAATGTTTTCCTGTCATTTTCCATAACAATTCATTATACTCTTTCAGCGCCGGGCTCACTGCCGGCCCAATCATATTACCAAAATATAATAAATCAAAATCAGTTGGTAACGACCAAAGTAGATACGGCCACCATCGATCAAATTCTGGCGTTCTCAGCACCACATCATCTTCCAGTATTAGCATGGGACTTTGTAATTTAACGACACGTTTCCATGCTATGACATGTGATTCTAAACATCCAAGTGCACCGTACGTCATATATTCCCCACCAACTACTTGATCTTGTTGTACAATTTGATTGTACACCGATTTGGTTAATTTCCCTTGTTCTAAACTTTTATGTAAGTTGATGTGATGACCATGAATAGCTGAAATTCGTTCGATTTTATTTGGAAGATATTTAACAAAGGTGAAATTGTTATTGAGATGCAGTTTTATCAATCTATATTTCTCCTGGTTAATGTCTAAATTAATCATGAGTATCCCTTTAACAGGCATGATACTATTGGCGATATTAGGGGTTGTTGTGACTACATTGCGTTTTCTTCTTCCTGGTGCGATTGCTGCTCCTGTTGATGTATAATAGTAGAGTGGATTCGAATAAGTTGTTGTTCCAGTAAAATAGTCAGGCGTAATTGCAACTGTTGTTGATGCTAACACAAAATACGCTAAAAAAGCAAGAAGAGTAAGTTTATAACCATTCTGTAGTCTTTACTTAGTTCAGTGCTGCTTACCAAACGATAATTGTTGCAAGAATAGATCGATTAAAACATTTTCAATTGAAATTTGTAATGATTCTAAATTTGCAAATACAACAGTACTACTTGTCAGTGTAACCAGTGTTGCATTTTGACATTGACGACCACATTCTACTGGAAACACAAAACTAGCAAAAATTTGTAAGGTGGCACTACAATAAAAGAAAAAAAAGGGAAGTCTGTTTTTACCCGATAGCAGCAACGAATAACGAGAACTTACATTGATCCGTTTAGCAGTGACGCTTGATGCACTTTTACTGTCAGAGAAACTTTGATTGAAGTATATTGATAAATATCTCTTTGAACCTAAAACTCCGAATTTATTTAAAATATTGATAGAGAAAATTTTTCCTCTGTATAAATCATTAAAAACATTAATCGTCTGACAAAAAAACAAATTTAAGGTGTGTGCTATAAAAAGTCATACAGTCTTACGAGAGTAAAGTCAAACATCTGAACTGCGCAACCATCAGCAGCATCACAAAGAAAGACGGATGATTGCGATCGGCAGACTGAAGTATTTTCCTATTGATTTCATAAGACCACTTCAGCTACTTACCATTTTATTAATGGCTGGAAAACTTGTTTGATCAACTGGGCCATATTTCGGTACAATTGAACGACGAGAAATTCGTGCTGCTCTTGCTGTTGCCAGTGAACTATTATAAATTGGATAGTTTAGTTCCATTTCAATTGTTCGAGCTACAACAAATAAATAAATGAACGAATTCATAGTTAATGAGAAAGTCACGGACGATTCGTACCTGTTAATGTAGCAGGTACAGCTTTTGATTCCAAATAAATTGGAATAAGTGACAGGACAACGGCGGCTGCGATAAAGAAGAAAAATAGACCTAAGCAAAGAAAGCCGAGCAAGATGGCGAGTGGGCGTTGCTTATTGAGACCATTTCTAAAACAGAAGAAAGGAAAGAATTTAAAATATTAATAGTATTACGATGGTCTGACCGTTTCTCTAAAAAAAAGATCAAAAACAAAGAGAATAATATTTTCTGAGTGTAAGGGCAATGATTTTGGATAATAAGCGATTATAATTGCAGATGTTTTGAAACTTTTAATCATATTTATTCTTTCGTGATATTTCGAACTTAAAGAACCATTCTCAAACAAGAATCTAACAACAATAGAACCTAAGTTAAACTTTTTTACTGTTTTCATTCTTACATGACGAAAAGAACGAGACACTCTACTTCACAAAATATGACGTTATAGATAGTTTAAATTTTATTCATTCAACGACGTTATACTTATATAAACCTAAACAACATCACCTATGAAGATAATAACCTGGTCCATCGAACTTGGTGGTACAAAATGTTTGTCGCTATATAAACTTCTAATCGAATTTCTATCGATACCATTTGGAAAAACGAAAGATCGGTTTCATTTAGTTTTGGTAAAGTGATTTTGTAGTGATTCCTTTAATGGTAAACGATACTTATGTTGTGCTGTCTTAATGATTCAAAAATCAGCCGCTGTTATAGTATGAACAGTTGATGCATAGTGTCTGCCAAAAGCTGATTTGGCTACGTATTGCTGTTTCTCTATATTACTTTTTAGATTTCAATATGTATCAATGATATCATCTATTTCATCATGATTTATTTCTGACAATGATCGTGATAATTAGCCGACCTGCAATCGTGTGATTAGTCTAGGGTGCTCATGGATGTCTTTTTTCATCCTCTATTCATGCTCAAAGAGAATAGTATAGTCAGCGGTTTTGCGTTAACAAACTTACTGTATTTTCCATGTTGAAGTTAACATATTTTTTTCTTTTGTTCTGCTGATAGTTGAAGAAAAATTTAATGCGAGAAATGTTTTGATTAAAACTTATTTCATCCATATTTATTTGTTTATTCAAATAGGAAATTGATCGAAAATGGAGGTATTTTCCTTTCTCTACAGTCATTAATTTTTGTATAGT